CCTAAACCCCAAAATCCTAAAGCCCCCTAACGTTCAAAGGCTTCCCCCAAAGTGCACCATCCAAGGTTCTACCAGCAGTTGCACGAGACGGTCCTGCGAAGAACGCTGGGTGCCGGCGTGTTGAAGGTGATGCTCAGGGGGTGGGATTTAGGGTCGAAGGTTTAGGGTTTAACATAGGGGCCTTAAGAAATAGAATAGGGCTTGGGGGTATACTATACTACAGTTATAACAAGGAGCCCCCAACATCCTATTCTAATTTTTAACGCACCTGCATTGGTTGGCTTTCGTGAGTGGAAAGTGGCGAAGATTGCGGGGTTCTCGAAGGCATGTTCCCAGAGAATCCAATACCCCTGAATCAAGGAATATACCTTAAATAATAATATTAAGGACCCTGTCATTTAAGGTACATTCCTTAATTAAGGGGTATTGGGTTCTCTGGGTAACAGAGCAGCTTCATGCTGGCAGCACAGGCAAGAACAGCGCCCAGCTTTCGCCCCAGACCCTAAACCTAACCCCTAAACCCTAAACTGCAAGCCCTAAGCCCTAAACCCCAAGCCCTAAGTTGCAAGCCCTAAGCCCTAAACCCTAAGCCAACCTTAATTCAGAGAGCCACCCTGCCTCATAGATCCCATAAATGCACCCTAAATTCCAGAGCTAGCCCTAATAGAAACCCTATAGAAACCTCAACCCAAACCCTATAGAAACCCCCAGTGCCAAGTCGTCATCAGTCCTCCGCAGTGCGAGGACTCGAGGATCCAGGTCAGCAACCAGCCGTTTCTGGGTTCTTGTTAAGGAATTTTTCCAACATAAAGTTACCATGGTTTAGGGTTCAGGGTACCGTAATCGGGATTTGTAGTAAATCATATGGTTCCTTTATTATTTATTATTCATTATTTATTATTTGTTACTGTTGTTTTCATTTATTAAAGCTAAGCTAAACCCTTTAAACCAAACAAGAGCCCAGGTTTCCTCTCACGAGCGGGCAGAAAGACCTCACCAACACGCAGACGAGCTTGCCCGGGACTCGGAAATCTGTCGACGCAACAGTCGAGCGAGGTCAGGGGTGCCAGAGCATCAGATGGGAATGTCAGAAAACTAGGGGACCTTATTTTGGGGTCCTTATAATAAGGGTCGTACTAGTTGGGGTCCTATATCAGGGTCCCTTATTTTCTGAAACTCCCAGATGGAGTTCAGAACGGTCCCAGTGTTCTAGAAGGATTCTAGCATCAGATGCCTTCAGCAACGATTCGCGAATAAAGTGCACATCCGACAACGCTCCTTGGCAGGGTTCTTTCGAGCCCGGAGTTTATCATCCGTAGCTGACCGCGAACCTTAAACTTTTGACCATGAACCCTATACTCAAGATCCTTAAGCCCTAAATGCTAGACTCTACAACCCAACCCCGACGCCAACCCTACACTCTAAGACCGTGACCGACATGCATCAATCCTCAACCCGAGCCAAAAACAGAACCTTGAAATCCTCCATGGCCCTGGTGTCCGAAACCTAAATCGAAACCCTCTCCGACTAAACCCTAAACCCTAAACCCTAAACCCCATCAGCCCGCCGCCCTGTATTTCCCACAACCCCACACCCAAAATCCTAATCCCGTACCTCACAGCCCAGTCTTCGGTCCTGTAGTCTCGAAGCCCCAAACCCGATACCACGACGACTGTTGCTACGACGCTGACAGTTTCGACTGTGCTACTAAAGTACCTAAACCCTAAACCCTAAAACCCGAACTGCTAGGTGGAAAAAAGGTGCTCAAAACAAAAGCCTAAACGCCACAAGGAACCTAGCGCTGGGTTTCGCTTTCATCCCGGCCTCTGTCGGCGCGCCCGGGCCTCGATGACCGGGCCTCGATGACACGTTGTTGGTGTTAGGGTTTAGGTTTTAGGGTGTTTTTAATTTAGAGTTTAGGGTTTGGGGTTTGGCGCATTTGGAGTTTAGGGTTTAGGGTTTAGAATTTAGAGTTTAGAGTTTAGGGTTTGGCGTATTTGGAGTTTAATGTTTATGGTTTAGGGTTCCGCATGCTTGAGCCTTTTCCGGGGCATAGCAGCAGAATGCCGATGTGAGATAGTCGTGTACCAACAGTACAACGATGCCGCAGTACAGACAGCATTATGACAAAATCAACCTACTTGTAAATATTGGTATGTCAGGTGTTACAATGTAATTAGTATCATGTAGGAACCTAGCCTAGTTCAACGAAGCCTTCTGAATCATCGCAGCTTTACAGAATACTTGCTGCAACCTAGGTTCATCGTGCTGGAGCGCGAGACCGGGAGCAAGCACCTGCAGGCTTCTGCGGGAGGGTCTGGGTCCGGCGTTGAGTTGAGTGTCGGACCTTGAGAAGTATCGTTGTGGGTTTATGGTCTAGGGCCTAGGGACAACCCTAAGCCCTAAACTCTTTGTGCCGAAGACCCTAAACCTTCAGAGGGGGGGGGGAGGGGCTGTTTTTCAGTTTCAGATTCGCCTCCCGGGTGTTGGTGCTCGAGCTTTTTTTTGTTTCCTCTGATTCCGTTCTGAAGATCAGACCACCTCTCCAGTGGCCCTAAACCCAAAACCCTGAACCCCAAACCCCTAAACCCCAAGCCCTTGAACCCTCCACCCCTAAACCCTAAACCCCTGAACCCTAGACCATATGCCCTGAAACCCTAAACCCCTACACCCTAAACCCTAACCCCTGAACCCGAAACCCCTAAACCCCTAAGCCCTAAACCCTAAACCCTAATCCAAAAAGCCCTAAACCCTAATCCAAAAAACCCTAAACCCTAAACCCCTGAACCCTACACCCCTAAACCCCTAATCCCTAAACCCCTAAACCCCTAAAGTCTTGAACCCTACACCCCTAAACCCTAAACCCCTGAACCCTAAACCCTAAACCATAAACCCTGAAACCTTAAACCCTAGACCCTAGATCCGATCGGGCTTCATGGGTTTAGCATCGGCATCTCGCAGGGTGTATAAGCTCTTAGCCCGACGGCAACGAACCTCAACGCGAACAGCCAAAGCCTAAGACTACAGGGGCCTAAATAATTGTCCATTGTATTTGGGGCGTTCCTTGTTATGACCACAGCTTAATGGACCCCAAAACCTTATTCGAATACCCTAAACCCTAAACCCTAAACCCTAAACCCTAAACCCTAAACCCTAAACCCTAAACCCTAAACCCTAAACCCTAAACCCTAAACCCCTACAGTAAAGGGGCCCAGCCCCCCAGAGATTCGGAGGGTCATGGCGTGGAGGGCGCAGTTTGAGATCCCTTTGAGGTGATCAGCGGCGTCAACTTCATTTCTTACTGGACCTCGACATGGATTTGGGTTCTCTGCCTGCATCCACAGGGTTTAGGGTTTAAGGTTCAGGGTTCAGGGTTTAGGGTTTAGGGTTTAGGGTTGAGGGTTCAGGGTTCAGGGTTAGGGCGGGGAAGAGTGTATGGACAGCAAGCTGATGCCATCTGTAGATTTGCAAAGTATGGAGCCTCATGCCCAGCAGATACCGATGGAAGGCTATCCCATTTCAACCGTAGGATTGGGGATTTTTTGACGTTGAGGATCGTGGAGTGCCTGCATGCGTCTCTTCCTTTCCGAAGGCGCATCAGAAGGCTACCTTGTGCCAAAACCGTAAACCCTAACTCAACCCTGAAAGCGGAGTCTCAGTGGTTTAGAAGCGAGTTCGTACAGACTTCCGAATATACTACTCTTTTCCGCAGTGATCATATTAGACCTCAGGCTGACTCAGGGTGTTTGGAAAAACAGCTCCATGACGGAGAGAGAGCGAGAGAGAGAGAGAGAGAGAGGGAGAGCTGAAGGATGTGCTGAGACTTAAACAACAGCAAAAGCCTAAACCGCTCGACGCCAACACCCGAAACCCCAAGCCATAATTTAGGGGCCATAATAACTACCTATAGTATGTTAGGGGGTGCCTTCTGAAAGTTACAGCATAATGGGCCCCCAAAACCCTATTAAACTTATTCAGGCTCCTATATTAATCCCTCAGCTCCAAACCTCCTGAAGGTCCTGAACTATAAGCCTCAGTCCCACTGTTGATAATATGAATCCTCCACCTTAAGGACACGAAACTATGGCAATTATGGTATATCCCTTGTTACAGAATGCAGGATTCATTATATCATCCACCGTGTGAGCCCGCAGCATGCCCATAGGAGGGATGAAGGGGGTCTGGAACACGAACTCTCAACCCTAAACCCTAAATCCCCACCAGCCAGGATGTGCTGAACTTGAACCGTAAACACTCAACCCTAGGCCCTAAACCCTATCACCCTAAACCCCAAGACCCCACCAACGAGGATGTCCTGAGCTACATGAAGTAGACTTAGAAGTACCCCAAAAGTGAGCCTGATTGGGGTTACGATATTTATAAGTCTTGAAAGTAGATACTTACTAAGTCCCCCTATCCTCCTACCAGGATGTCCTGAACTGGAACCCTAAATGAACTCTCCACCCCAATAAACGCTAAACCTAAACCCTTAAGAGGATGTCCTGAGCCCGAACCCTACACCCTAAACCCTAAACCCCTAAAAGGATGTCCTGAACTCGAACCCAAAACCCAAAACCCCTAAAAGGATGTCCTGAACCCGAACCCTACACCCTAAGCCCTCAACCCTTAACCCCCCAAAAAGGATGCCCTGAACTCGAACCTTACACCCTAAACCCCTAAACCGCTTTGTAAGGGCCACTACACTTAAAAAACAACCTAAAAGGATGTCCTGAACTACATGGTGGCGGCGGTGGCCTCCATCCTGCTCATCGCCCTCTTCGGGGTGGACTCGCACCTGGGCTCCAGGGGCCGGACTTGAAGGCTTTAGGCTCCTTTAAGGCGGGGTTTAGGGATTAAGGGTTTTGGGTTGAGGGTTTAGGGTTTGGGGTTTAGGGATTGAGGGTTTTGGGTTGAGGGTTTGGGGTTTGGGGTTGAGGGTTTAGGGTTTGGGGTTTTGGGTTTAGGGTTTTGGGTTTCGGGCGTGTCGTCGATGTTGTGTGCGCTAGGAATGAATGGGGGTGCGCCCACTTATGGCGCGCTTGCGTCAGCCTGTAGTCCCGCCCCAACCACCCCGGCTATTCTCAATTAGGGTTTAGGGCTCATCCCCCGAACCCCCCTCAAGGGGGGCTTTCTTGCTCTCTGCTTCCCTTCCCGGTTCTACATAAAACAATATCCTCTCACAGTTCCTGAAAAGAAGTACACTACAGTAGTCAGTAGCCACAGTGTTACAATATCCCCTGATAGCCCATATCATGAGACTGCAATAGACCCAGTGTTCCAATATTCCCTTTCTGGATTCTTATACTATAGCAGACTCTTATTATCACAGTCGGCACAAAATTATGCGACAGTAGACCCCAACCCCGTGAAATAATGCTTGTGCAATGTTGAAACCCTCAGCCCTAAACCCTAGACTGCAGCTGTGCATAGCGAAGCCATTCCAGCGTCATTAGCCGCGACCCTGAGAACCACCCACATGGATAATAGCACAATTGAGCAAAAAGGTCTCCCCAGGCCCCTAAACCCTAAATCCTAAAC